GGGGGGGGGGGGGGGGGGGGGCGTACTCTTATGTTTTGCACGCCTTAGCGGTTAGACCATTGACCACGCGTCCTCGAGAGTACGGAGCATTGTTCCCACAGGACCGATCACCGATGGCCAATCGTTCCTTCCTACTTGCCAAAGGTGGCTCAAAAATGTGTTCCCTAGATTATCTATCCTATTGATATCACTTCTCGATGGGGGGTGGGACATTTACCAGAGCTGAGGGTCCATGCCCACGACGAGGAACGCTCATGGTGCCCAACAGCCCACATGGACCACCGAAATTCTTGAGGCCGTAAAAAAATGTTTTCGTGGAGGTTGAACAAAGGACTAAGACGGCTAGTGGAAAAAACCGAAACTAGACCCAGAACTTCGGTCCGTCGTTCATGCCAACGTTCTACCCCCGTTGCCCCTAGCCCAGCGTAGAGAATACTTGAACGTCAGAACTTAACGCTAGTCGCAACCCTACCTGTTCAATAACGCCTTACATGCTCGTGTGATAGACCGAACATGTAAATAAATACAGCGTGTGTAACGACCTGACGTCAAAGGTGTCCCATGGGAGCATGGAAATGGGCGCAACGGCTGCTGCGGGTCGGTTGGTCAGTAGACACCGCCATGTGTTCGGCCAATGTTAAATGTTCTCACAGAGATCGATCGGACTTCGTCCACAACAACCAACTGTTCCAACACGTTGTGGCCGTGCTGGCTCGATACTCTACAATTGTGTTCGTCACCGTGACGTCTTTCGGAGATCATGTGCAACACGGACACGCGCCCCTTCGAAACGGACGGGTCGTCGTTCTGTGCATTCGAGCGCTGAGGCGCGATTGAGACTGAACATAAAATCTTAACGAACCGTGTCACTTGAAAGCAAAACGTTGCGAATAACAGTTGCTGTAGTGCTGTAGTAGACCGAGTGGAGTTCCTGCAGCGAGGAATGGCAAGGTAAGGTCTCATAGGATGGGGGAAGAACGAACTCGTAGGATGGGGGAAGAACGAACTCATGCTCGCCCTCCCTCCTACCCGAAACACGACGCAGTATGTACTGTTATGTTCTGTTCTGTTCTGTATCGCACAACAGCAACGTGAGAGTGACGCAAGGTAAGACAAGACAAGATACACCACAACACAATACCCGAACGAACAAGCGCTTCTTTTCTGCACAAAAAAAAAAAGAAACAAGGCACGGGACGGCACACACACAAACCCCAAAAGCCGCCCTTGAAGACTCCCTCCCTCCCTCCCTCACTCACTCACTCCCTCACTAACTCACTCAACTCACTCATTCACTCACTCACCATGAACCACATGAGCCAGAACCTCTTGTCCTTCACCACCTGCTTCAAGCTAGTCCCCGTCGCCGCCGCTTGCACCTTCCCGTGGCCCCTGTTGTTCCTGCCGCCCTTGGGAGCAGCTGCGACGGGCGGTGGCCTGATGACGGTGGATCCCAAGGCGGCCACGAGGAAGTAGATGAGGGCCAGCTTTCGGAGCATGACGGGGAAGTTAGCGTAGACCTCGTCGGGGTAGACTCCGTCGACGGCGTCGAGCCCCTTGGGGTTGATGATACCCGTGCCCACCTTAGGTAAGGTCGGCGACATTTTCAAACGTGCGAATACAGTTCTCATGCCAACGTCCATGGCAGTGGGGTGGAGTAGGGTTCGCCAACGAGGGTGTAAGACTCACTCGCGGTGCCCATGGTTTGAGGTGCTAGTCTCTAGGGTACGACTGAACCGAAACGATTGGTATTCATGTGGTCTCCAGCAGCTCAGGCGCCAGCCACGCCGAGCGCGTCACAAACACCAAGTATATATGAATACAAACACAAACATAATTCACATGAATAAAAACCACCCCCCGAATAGACACTCGGGACACGGCACATTACAGGACCGTGACCGCTCGCAAACTGCATTCATGTAACACGGTATCCTTGTGGCTGCGAAGAAAGCATTCTGAATATGAACGTACGCGAAGCGTTCTGGCATCGCAAGCAAACAACGGTTCCAAAGTCCGCCTTCCGTCAAGCTGGAGGCCATCAACCACACAAGGCTAAGACTCTGCTTCGGTTCGCCTTACAACCCTGACCAAGACAAAAAGAAAAGAAAAGAAAAGAAAAGAAAAGAAAAGAAAAGAAAAGAAAAGAAAAGAAAAGAAAAGAAAAGACAAGGGAAGGAAATACCGCACGGCTCCCAAGTCTCTGCATCATGCAGGCGGGAGCGCAATAGCAACACCGACACCACAAGCGCGGGCCTCACTCACCTGGTTGAAGACGAACCCGCCGGCCCCGAATCCGGCTACGACGGCACCGCTCACCATCCCCTTCCTGCTAGGGAACCACCTCCAACCGTTCACCATGGGGGCGGTGTAGGCGAGACCGATCCCGGAGCCGAACATGAACGAGTAGCAGAACATGAAGATGGCAAGGTTTGGTGCATACGATGACAGGAATACCCCCAGGGCCATAATCCCGCAGCCCAACGCCGTGGTCGCCTGGTGATATCACGCATGTAGGGTTTCGTGTAGGTTGGGCGAGTAGCGGGGTAATGTTGTGGGTAGGGTTGGGGCCGGAGGGGGACGGAGACATCAAAGTCGGGGGCAACGCTACGAGGGCGATGTCAGAGAGGGCCCTTAGATCCACTACTGGTACATTACAAGTACGGCTGCAGTGAACGCCTATCAAACATAACGTCTGTGTGTCGGTGCTGTCTTTCAACTGGCGATTGATGACCTCCAAATAGGAAGGACGATACCAGCAAACAACAAGGGCTGGACCACGCAACGGAGACACCCCATCTGGCTCGTGCGAGCTGCTTCCAACTCGGTGCTGCTGACGCAAATGGACTGCGACTACCATACGCGGGGCAATTTGCAGAAACAACGCCATCCAGATCGGAAAAGCCCGCGGCCCTCATGCTTTGGGGGAGCCCACGGAATAGCAATATTACGGCCTGTTGAAAGACCGACATCCTTTTGACCATCAACCCGCCAGCACCGCCGTCGATGCCAACTACCAAGAAAACGCTCGACTTCCGTGTACCTTAGGAGGGGAGTGGTTTCAGGACCTCCTACCTCCTACCTGGCATCCGATCTTCTCCTGGAAGTAGGGGCCGAGCGGCATAGCCAATGTTTGCGACACAAAGGTTGCGGGCAGGATGTAGGAGGCGTGGGAGCAGCCAGGGGCGCTGCCAAAGCACTTGAGCCTGCAGTTACAATCGCCGTTAACAAGAGGAGGGGGGGCGCGATACCATGGGGCAGGAAATGCTTCAGCGACGGCTGAAACTCTGGGCATGCAGGGATCAACAGGGCCGGGGTGCGACGCGATAAAAGCACGAGATACTCTTGTACACTCGTGCCCGTACTGGGGAGGCTGTGACGATGCGACAAATGCACGACATACATGCATACACTCGCGTACGCTGGTCGGCTAACTGCACTAACGTGCTCGTGTAGGTGACTAGTTTCTTTCTCACTTTTCGGGCACGTACGGCACGAAGTTCCCCCAGCAGTACGTGGTACCCAGAACCAGGTGGCACAGAGCTCCGCCCAGCACGCCCAGCACGCCCACCCTAGCCCTTCGCTGTACGTCGCCAGCGTACAGAAAGCGAGTAAGGCGGAGGTCAGACACATGGCACCCAACGCTGGAGATTGTGAAGAGAAAGAAAGAGAGAGGTGGTCTGCGACGAGAACCCCTGGCTGAATCGAACACAGATCGCATGGACAATCCCTACACCCCGAACATTCCTGGCAAAGCTTTCTTCGTAGAGAAGCATGTGTGTGCGCGACCTCTGCTCCAACCAAGCATCGTTGACAAAGCATTTTCATTCCATGCGAGACACATAATAAAGATGCGGTGTGATAAGATGAACGTGAGATGTGGGTACTGGTGAGGTGTCGTGGTTGACTACGGTAGTTTGGGTCCAGGGTGGATGTGATCATGCGATGCATACAAGCTGGTCTGACCAAGAAGCTAACTTTCGTTCTTTCATGTCCCACTCTGCTGTTTCAACGAATTTAGACTTCAAACTTGGCGGGTCCTCGTATAAGACCATAGGGGATGCGCAGGTGCCGGAATTTTTCGGATCTGAGTTGATTTTAGGTATATAACTATCAATTGGCGGCAAAGTTGGGATACTTCCTGTACTGAAATCAGCATAAAAAAAGGTTTCTCAGATCAAGCTGAAAATTGCTGTGCATGTACCTGGGAACATCGCGAGAGCAAAGATGGTAGTTTCAAGGCTCACGGCATCTTCCATCAGAAGTTATGGCCTATTAAAGAATCCGATACAACACACGAGATACCTGAGGCAACGTAAGGATTTCGCGATTCCCACGCTGTTTTTTCGAATTAGAAGCTGAAATTTCGACACGGCATCCCCATGAGTACCACAAACAAATAAGCCACTACGCCATTTGACTTTTTTCTTTTTTTCTGCGACTTTTTGGCATAGCAAATATTCTCATGAATACTAATATCAGCCTAACTTACGAAATAAAAAAAAAATCCAAATAGCGCAGTGGCCTTTGTGTTTATAGTACTCATGCAGATGCCGTGTCAAAATTTCAGGTTCTAACTCGAAAAAACCGCGTGGGAAATCCGCTCCAACCTTCAAATTTGCGTCTTGGTCAGACCAGCTTGCAGTACTGCTGTACAGCGGTCGGCAATGAAGAATACAACAGTACGAACAACGCACCCCCGAAGAAAGAAAGAGGGTACTGTAGGTGCTAGTAAAGTGAACGAGTTCCCTACAGCCGTATTCCCTGACTTCCGTGGCGCCAACCGCCTCCAACACAACATCTACTTCAGCATTTAGACCTCCAGCACAACATCTAGGATTTAGACGCCGTTGTGTGGAGAAGTGGTAGCGATTCAAGCCTTTCAACATGATATGAAGTATAGTACGTGATACCCATGTCCACGAGATGCAGAAGGAGCGTTGCTTCACCTTCATTCCCCACAGTCTGTTCCTCTCTCGAAATCGCAACACCAAACATCAAACATGTTTCGCGCGGGCTCAATTGGTCAACAAGATGGTCGACGTGATACGGAATATAACACCCACCCACTATTCTTCGTGATGTAGATAGAATACGAACATCATCAGCAACAACAGCATCAGCATGCATTGCACCCCAAACACACAAACGACCAGACGCGTGCTGCCTTTGTTCGTGACGGTGGCTATCAACATCTCGCGCAAACCCACCTGAACTAATTCGAGAGGGCAGTAGTCTAGCGAGAATGAAGACAGACCGTATGCAAGGCTCCCGTATGAATACGTGCCTTGTTTTATGCATACGATCAATGCTCGCTATTACGTGCACTTGATCGCCAAAGGAGCAGGCCACCGCGAGCATGCAATAGTGTTGAGTGTTGCCGTGCTCAAACAACAGAACGCTTTAGCGAAAAGTCGCTCGATGGTGGATTGTATGCACCACTGCTGTAACCATGGGTGAATCTGCGAATGCACACAGCCGGCGTAAACGGACGGGTGTGTTGATGCACGAGATCCAGCACGACGAGCACAACACAGCTGCGCGCGCAATGGATCCCACCGTTGCAAGACCCACCTGTTCCACTGCCTGCCCTCCAGTCACCGCGACGGCAGTCTCCCCTGCTCCGCCTGCTGCAACCTCAGCGCCAGTAGAAATGAGCGGTTCCTCATGAGCAGCAGCATGCATAGCATCCACGCGAGGGTGGGCAGCAGCAGCAGCAGCGTTGTGCAACATCGAGGATACTGGGGCGCGAGCTCCAGCAGACGCGGAGTTGGCCGTAGCCAACGCGAGGAGCGGTGCTGCCACGGCCAACACGGCCTTGAGTCCACCTGCCGTCCTCATGGTGCCTCTGTCGTCGTCGCCTTCAATCCAGAGGAAGGCTGCTGTGCTAGAGCTGCACGCTAAAAGGGCGGCTGGCGGGGCCTCGCAGCTTGTGCGAACGTTCTTTCTCCTCGTCAGTATGTACTATAATGTGAAGAACAACAACAACAACAACAACAACAACAACTCCCCCCCCCCCCCCCCAAATTTTTATTTTTCGGCGCCACACATCCCATGCGGTAGTGTCTACTTTGCTCAGTACATCTCGCTGGATCATGAAATGCGTTGGGGAGAAGTGTGCTGTGCTCGGGAAGACGTCGTGGGTATTGCTGGGAGAGAGCACTGCGACCCACTGAAGAACATCAACGACAACACTACAGGAAAACACACATGGAACAAGTCACAAAAATAATGAATGCCACAGACACCGCGGTCGTGCATCAGAGAGAGGCCCACTCCCACATAGGTAGGTCACCTTGTGCTTGCGAAGGTTTTACAAGACAATCACCACTTGAACAGCCAAAACGTCGAGGCAACACTATAATAGCGTGAACGCAACGAACATGCGGTTTGTTCTCAACGTACTACGATATAAGTATTCATATGGTACCACCAAAAGTGTTAGTTGCCCCGAAGAAAATAGAGTGAAAAGCCACACGAGGAGTCACAAAAGGAAAACACTTGGCTGGTCCGAATGACAGACTAAACATCACCAGCTAAGCACAAGGAAGTCCTGGACCAAAGCCTTTAGCTCTACATGTACCTCCGTGGGCCGAGAAAACTCTATGGCCATTTTCTACCCTATGCCAGCGTGCAGCTGGGCAGGAGACCCCAAAGACCCAGCCGACCGTGTTAGTTCATGAAACCACATCATCAATCATCACAAAAAACATAAAAAAAACACCATTATTTTTGCAGTAACAACTGAGCGCAAGGCCCGCCCGTAAAACTCCAACCCCCACAACGAGAACATTCCATGCCGTCTGTCAAAATGCAGTCCTTCAAAATTGTTGTGTTCAAACATGAACCGCACCCAGACCTCTCGCAGAGTGTGCGCTGACGCATGATGCGTTACCGCACGTGATTCGCTAAAACGTCTTGCAACTTGCGTAACTCGTCACCAGTACCAATCGCTGAACTGCATCGCCTACAATCGTGTCAAGATTTCCCTTAGCATCATTGACTGGCCTTCAACGGCACTACCATCACGCGGCATTCGGGCCGTGCACTTCAGGAAGGAAAAACCTTTACCTTTTCCTGGCCAACGTGAACTCCCAGAAATAGTTGATTCAGCTACAAACGCCCTTCGGAATGAAAAATAAAAATCCATGACGAGCACAAAGAAAAGACATCCCCCCATCGACAAGGAAATCGACACTCAGCGGGTCCATAGTCCATAGTCCAGAGGCCTCCCGGTACAGCTAGCTGTGTCTACTCACGGGCGGGACTCGAGGTAGTGCTACAACAATACCTGTTATGCGTCTGCCCGAACAGCCATTGGAAATGTCCTCCTGCCAAACGTCACCCCCTTCTTCAGGACACAAGTCGAGGTCTCACATATTTAGAGCCTGAGTGTTGGGAGATTTTTCATCTCCACTTCCTCCATGTAGATCATATCTCGTCTACTTGTACAGCAGTACTGTAGTATCAAAACTGCCTTGGCGTCGTCCCTCTCAAATACCTCGTTCTAGAGTTACAAAACTTAAATTCCAACTATTGTAGAGGAACCTTTCCTCCTCGCTCACCGTCAAAACGTACACCGGAGTATGGTCTGCATAGAGACGCGCCATGTTCACAGCACAAGACAGCTTTGCACAGAGTCCACACTAGCAACAACAACAGCCAAACAGTAGCACACTCTTCTTACCCAAGCAAATGACAACACTTGCGGTTTGCACTCCATCCCCGTGTATGGTAACGAAGTGCTACAACACGAATCGACACAACGACAGAATAAAATCCTCTACACAAATCGGCATCTTGAAGAGGGGGCCATACCCTCACTCACCACCTGACAGCAGTCAAGACACCCTTCCCACTCAACAGTGCCTCCTGGTAACGGCAGACAATAGGCTGACATTATTTGTATACGAAACGGGCGACAAACTACTTTGCAGCGAACATCGTCTTCAAGCCCCCAGAGCACAGCCACTTGGCGAGCTCCGTGTATTGCTCCTTGATGAGGAAGAGGATGACCGTAAGCGTTCCCTTGGCCAGCAGGTAGGGCGGGAATCCTGTCCACAGGGACCCCAGACTCTCCGTCCTCGCGATGGTGGCAAGGGCGTTGAAGGTGCCCGTGTATCGCGGTTTGCTGCCGGCCTTTTCCTGGCAAGCAGTGTCAGTGCGTGGTTAGGGCTGGGTTAGTGGAAGCAATGACAAGGGACGCAGGGGTCGACCTCACGCAAACCTCTCTTCAAATGGCGAAAGACAATCATGTCGACGCAAACTAAACTAGACGTACATGTACATACGCTTGTCCCTCAAGAAGGAACGACGGGAATAGCACCGCCACCACCACCAGCTGTGGTAGCAGCAGCAGCAGCAGCAGCAGCAGGAGAGTCGGCAACAGAGAATTTGCCACTCCGATGACCGGAAATGCTACATCGCTGTACTGCACCTGCTGCACACGTGTCTTGACGGTGTCGAACGGCATGGAGATGGTGGTGAAGGTGAGGGCTGAGATCACGCCCGCCACAAGGTGCTGTCGGAAGCCCTGGACATACGGGGCCAGCGATGCCTTCGCCTGGTCGTACGTCGCGATCTGCGACACCGAAACCACCATCGCACGCAAAACTGGCAAGGGAAGGGAACGGAAGGAATAAAGAGGGAGAACGTGGTCGTTCGAGGGGTTGGATGCGTGAGCCTACATTGCAACGAAGCCATCACGCTTGGTACCGGAACAGAAGGGGCAGAATAGAAAAAATCCACAACAGTGCTGCTCTACGTAGGAAAATCGCCAATTTAACGACAGCTTGTGTCAACGTTCCAGAGCTTGCCAAGACTATAATGAGTACGTTCCACGGTTAGCCAAGACCGGCTCATGCTGACGCCGGCTGAAAAAATGAAAAACCCTTTCAACTTCGTCAATATGTAACATCTCGGTACACACACACGCGAAGCCTTTGAACGACACTCGGTCGGATTATTCCACCCTCCGGTTTTAATTGTCTTCTACCGCCCCAACCCAATCCCCTTTTCACTTGTTTACGACAGAGTGAGCAGTGAAAGGAGCCATCGGGGCACGGGCTCGCCCTGAAAATGACGTACAGGCATGCTCAAACAAGTAGGCTGCTGGACCCATTTCTACTGTAGTACCATGCCATGATAGCACAGGGCTCTGGCATGTCATCAATAGCCAGGACGGGGACCAACACACGCAGTCAATGCCAAGCACGACAACAAGCGAAACGGTTTCATGACCTCACCAGTGGTGCCGCCACCCCGCCAGTACGCCAGGGCTCCCTCGTCCCTGGCTATCCTGTACAGGGCGTGAAACACGCCGCGATACCCCCGCTGCTGATCCTTGGGGAGTTTGCCGTCCGCCTGCCATTCGCCCACCGATAGGTCAAGACAATATTTCTCCAACAGATTACCACAACAATACGACCGCTTCGTGCCGGGGTTTATAGCGTTTGTTTCGCTTCAGCCGCCAAAAGGAAACCGTCACCTCTCTCTGATTGAAGCAAAACAATATGACGTCCGTCTGCCTGTGGGAGTGGGGTTAGATGTAAGGGGCGTTCCATGAGCGCGTTCTTACATAGGATATGTGTGCGGTACAGTAGTACTATTGAGAACGGTGTAGGACACACCTGAATGGACCTAATGCAGTTCGCACATGTTGACACAGCATGAAATAAGTAATAGTGGGGATTGTTCAAAGTGGGTGGAAAGTCTTTCAAATCCGCATGACCGAGAACTGAAAACGCGTCATCATCACCTGCATCCTGACAAGGCAGACCTCTATCGGACAGGAGCAAAAGGACGCCATGCCTCCAGAGACGGCGCCGATAAGAATACGCAACAGCAACAGCTGCACGCCATTCATGTCGGATGTCCCTGATCAGAACGGCACCCCGACAGGTGGTAGCACGAAACAGCGGTCGAGAGAGAGGGAACGTGTGATGCCGACTGGAGAGGAAGATATGACAAAAAAAAAGAGCCAAGATCTGTAAGACCAGCTGCAACAGCATATTGCGGAAAAAAACTCTACAGCCAAGAACTTCTCACTGCTGTCGAGGACGAGCCTCCTGAGCAGATCGTAGAGCCCTAGGCGAAGAGTGGTGTACGACGCCTGCCTGGCCAGCGCAGCCGATAGCCCCGCGTAGAGAGCAGTCACGCCCTCGTTCTTGACCTATCCAAAGGTTCGACGTAGTAGACAGGCACGGCACGGTGGTTGAGTTTGGGAGTACCCTCAGGTGGGTGCGCTAAAGCGTCCTGTCCAGACAAAAATACCCGCTTGAGTAGGGCTCAGTGTCAGAAATGGAAACGGTCGAGACCATGTAAAAGCGGACGGTACATAACCCCGTACAGAGATCAACCAACCTGCACAGCCCAGAAACAAGGACGCACGCTTTCTTCACACCGACAAACCGCCTTGGACTTGTGTCCACCGGACCTCCCACAGCCTTACAACAAGTGCAGCCAGCCACGATCATCACACGATATATACAATATATGCACTAGTCATGTCGACACGCTAAAATGCTGCTGTACCCAGACTGCTTTGCGAGGAACGCAACTCACCAGGTCCTTCCCGACGGAGACAGCAGTGGCACCCTTTTTGCTGTCCCCCAGCAGCTGCATCCGAGTCTTGATCAGGTCGGCCGGGTGGATGAAGACCCAGGCAGACATGCCGCTCGCCCCAGCAACGACGAAGTTTGCATACGTCGGCAGGTCTTGCGCGACAGCCTGTGAGTAAACCACGCACAACGGGGGATGGGCGGCGGGGAACTTAAGCACTCGTTCCGGGTGGGTAATGACCGTGCTCAAAATGAGTCGTCGTAACCCTGCACTTACATGTAGCTCGCCCAACCATCCAGTGGGGAGTGCCGTGCCATGCACGCGGAGGGGTACAGGGTGTGACTACACAGCGAGACGGGATTTCGCAAGTGTACCGTACCCGCACAGGTGTTACAAAGGCTACCGAAGGCCCCTTTCTGCCGATACGTTCTCTTGTGCCACTATGTGAACGACGTCCGAATGCAAGGCATCTGCTCGCGGACGGACATAGCATTCCACATTTCATCTACGGTGGGCTCAACAGCAGCAGCATGACAGCAATTACTTCTTGCACCAGCAGACCGTTGAAGGGACGGGTGAGCCGGGGGGGGACTGCGGCCCGTGGCTAAAAAAAAAACGCAACCGTTACCTGTGCAAGCTTATGTAAGTCGGACAGAGGAAAATCGCATTACGGTGGTTTTCTCTGAGCTGTGTGCCGTAGCAGTGGCGCTGGTGGTGAGGCTAGGCGAGTCATGCTAATGGTGTCCGAGTGTGCGAACATAAGCTCATACGGTTCATGTTGTTTGACTGCGGTTGAGGTCGACGGAGGAACATGCACGCTGCTGTGTTCTTGCAAGGCGTTGCAAAAACGATATCGCCACGCTATGGGCTCAACTCACCACAGTAGGATTGGCCACAGCAGCCAAGGCCACGAGGCCAGTGGCTAGGGATCGTAGGAACCGCATAGTTGTGCTGCTCATCGCTTGTGTAGAGTGGCACAGGGCGGAGCAGTGCAGGGTAGGGAATGCCTGGCCACCTATCGAGCGCACACTTCCCCCCCCTATACTCTATTGTGCAGTCCCAGTCGCGAGCCCCCTTCTTGCTCACACCTTTGCATTGCTCCCAGAAGAGCCGACCACGCGCGAGCTACGGCGGAGGGAGCAAAGGAAGGTGGCAGATAGCTACGCGAGTTTCAAGCATTGCGTCCCTTAGTGTGGTAAGTGGAGGACATGAGTCATTTGTTCATCACTCAACACATGGTCACATTTTTTCTTTTTTTCGATTGCACCGCCTCTATTGCACACCATTGTTGTGTTGTTGCTGCCGCGCGCTACTACTGCTGTACTTCGGACTTCGAACTATTTACTGCTGCAGAGTGCCAACCGCTTATTCATATAGGAGACGGATGAAGCTGAACGAGTGTTGTATGTACCTTGACTGTGAAGTAGTCATGACAATTTTAGGTCGCACTCGGGTAGCGCACGTTCACACAGCAAATAAACACACGGACGCATCGACATAATGTAGTATGCTCAAGTGTTGCGCGGGAGGAACAATCGGTTTGGGACTTGCCTACCTTGCCTACAAACCGTAACCCATCCTAAACCCAACCAATCTTGTGTTGTATGCCTGTAGCTACGCAGTGCAGCCATCCTTCTTTGCGACTCATGCGTCCTACATGGAATCACCACAGAAATTACTACTGCTACATGGTAGAGTTCAGCGGCTCGCCGACGCCGCTGAGCTGTGCACAAGCACGTGATAACACATCCGCATGATGCATGGTGCGAGTCATCAAACTCCTACATAGACCGATTTGTTTACAGAAACTCGATGATTGCTCCACAGAGACGAGGGGCGTCAATGCCGAAAATGACGGTTATGGAAATATCCCGTCGAGAGGCGATCCTCAGTAACATGTGTTTTGTCTGTCGGTTGTTGAATTCGCGTGGTCACTGGAAAACCGAGCTTTTGACACAAGTCGGACGAATAAGGGTGTGAGGTGACTCGCAGAATTATGGTGCATGACTACAGCAGCATGCGACGATAGACCAGAACCCAGAAGTTGCGCGCGATCAAGGCTGGCCGAACGACCTTTCCCATCGTCCTCAAAAGCGCAGATCTCACAGCCAGTATCCACCAAAGCGAGTCTCCCTTTTCTCCTGAGTACCGCGAGCTCGCACGACCCTTTCCACTTCTCAAAACGTTGTAAACACCCTGTGTAAACACCTTTTGAGCAGGAGATATCCAAGAAGGCACGCATCATTGCATTGCAGCATGGGCGTGAAGGGCGACCTCAAGGCCGCGCGGGCGAGGATGCAGGCCGGAGAACCTTCTGAGGCTTTCTCCATGATCCAAAACATCCTGGACAGCTCCCACCCGGACCTTAACGACGCGCAGACCCTGTATGCGGTTCTGGTGACGTCAGGGCTGGCGGCACTTGCGTCGCAAGACTTGACCGCGGCCGAGTCCAGCTTCCGGCGTGCGGCCGACTCCATCCCCGACGCCCCCCAGGTGCATTTCAAAGAGTGTAAAAAGGTGTGGTGGTTTTTACGGACGTGAGTTTTCGAAAAGGTTTACCGCTGTTCGCCTGTTTGTACGCAGAAACGTGTGTTTGAGTAGACTAGCGCCAGACTAGATGGAGACGACCACACACAGCTGTCCACATGGCTATTGCTGTGACACCTCGGAAGGTGGGAAGTCTTGCTCGGAGGGGAACGGTTTCGAAAAAGCTGTTTCAAGACGTGCATCTGAAGAAACAGACGGCAACTGAGGTGTTGGCATTTCAAGTGCTGTTTTCTCTGAACACTCCAAATGTAGTCTGCCATCTATACTTTAGGGCTGAACCTTGGCAACTTACTGCCCGTCGAGTTTTGGCCGGAGCTGGTATGAGGGAGGTCAACTGGTCTCACGATATTTGCCGATGCAAATGCTCATGGTAATGCTGGACATATTTAGCCTCGTGCCAGCCTTCCAGATACTGTATGCCGAGTCCCCAGTTCCTTCAGTACCCCGAAATGTAACCAACACCGTCATTATGGCTGCTGCTAGTACAGGCCTGTGGCGGGTGTTTGCTAGGTTGTGCACAGACCAACCCCCTACAACCATGACTCCAAATCGTTTTATACCAGACGTAGAGCACTGACCATTTTATCTCAGTGTGAAGAGCGATGAACATCCGCCGTCCCTACTCCTTGATTAGTCCAACTTGCAGCCCTCGTAAATCTTCGTCCCTATCCCTACCCCCAAGGCGTGGAAGGGGCTGATAGACTGCCTGGAGCGGTCGGGGGCGGAGAAGGTGGGGGCGCTGCCGGAGTGTCTCTCGCGAGCCGCCGAGATCGCAGAAGGGAAGGGGAACCTCGCCAGGGCAAGAGGGCTAAGGCTAAGGCTGGGGACGGTGTTGGATCACCTCGGCAGGAAGGAGGAAGCCTTGGAAGCGGTGTGTCTCTTGGGTTGTTGCATACCACGTACTGTATTAGTTTGCTGACAGGCGAGCGTTTCCTCCCGCCACACCAATCCCTAGCTGATGCCACGGAGTGTCTGTTAGTTTCCTTGTGTGTTTTTGCGGAAGGGGTCCGTCTCGTGATCGACGTGACGCGTGTGTAGGACGAACGCTTTGTTGTGTATTCGCCGTGAAGGATTATTTGGGCGGGCATCCCAGGGCCCACGCCCGAACCACAAGTTCTGTACTTACCCACGTGTGCTGCCATGCCCGTGTGAAGAGCACACCTCGTACTCCAGCAACTGTATGCATATCAGTGTGGGAAACCGTAGGTTCCAGCGTCGCTCGAATCTGTCGTGCTCACGCCAAAACGAACGTCAATTTACAGGTGCTGCGTCATCTCGACAGCCCGGAAGCCATGGCCGCTGCCGCTGGGGATGGCAGCGGCATTTCCACAGCGGCGACCGAACGACTCTCGCTGCTGCTCCTCGCCGCCGTTCTCGAGACCGACGAAGAACAGGCGGCCGTCGCAAGGAGAGTAGAGAAACGCCTGGCCAAGGACAACGGCGGCGGCGGCGGTATCAGCTCGACGGCTAGCGGCACTTCTACGGCAGGCAGCAGCAGCAGCAGCAGCAGCCGTGCCGCCGCCCTGGCCTTCGATTACCGCGCCAAAGCCCTGGCCAAGGATGATGATAGCGTGGAGGGCGGCGGCCGGGTCGCGAAACGCCTGTCTGATGCCATGGAAGCGTTGCTCGAGGTGGGACAATCGCCAGCGGATGAGGGTGGTAGCACGGGAGGGGGCCCCGACGTTGGCGGTGGCGTGGGCGGTGCTCTCACTCCCGACAACGTGGTGTTGAAACCTCTGGTGGCTAGGTTCTGTCGCGCCTACCTTGGGAGAGCCGTGCACCGCGCGGAAGCAGCAGCAGCAGCAGCAGCAGCAGCAGCGGAGTCGTCAACAAGGTGGCGGGAGGTGCTGGCGGCCTGTGCCCGCGTGGAGAGGGCGGTGGGAGCCTCCGGGTGGGACGACGGCTGGGCCGCGACAGCCACCCTTCTCTCTTCCACCTACGCGCTACCCAACCACCAGCGCGGAGCCTCTGGTAACGGCGACGATGACAACGAGGCAACCGCGGCGTTGTTGGAGCTTCGGAGGATCGCCAGGGGTGGCGCACAGGACGAGGCTGGTGGAGACAAGACCGACGGTGCTGCCGCTGCCTCCCCCCGCCGACCCTGGCTCAAGTCCGAAGCCTGCCTCCACCTCGCCGGGCTCGCGCTGTGGGCCGGCGATGTTTACCAGGCGGACGCCTTCCTCAAGACCGCCGCGGGATCTGCTGTAGCGGCACGTATTCCGCCGCATCGCCGTAGCTCCACGAAACAAGCAGGGGCACCGTGGGCGGGGGCGCTGTCGGGGCCCGGCAGCGACTGGAGGGAGCTATCCCTGCGCTGTCTTGTCGACGAGAGGCTGGGCGATGGGGGGGGGGACCCTGCCGCGGCGGCGGCGCTGGGTCTCGGTCGCGTGGACGCCGCGATGACAGCTTTCGACGAGTCATTCCGGCTAAGGGGCCCGCCTGACGGCGAGGGCGACTACGCCGACGTTCTCGGGAGATTGGGGTTGGCGAGGGCCTCCCTGCTGCTCAAGCTCGGCGGCGGGCGGCTGGAGGAGGCGCGGTCGGCAGTGGAGATGGCTTCGGCCGGGGCCGTGCACGTCGCTCGCCAGGCTTCTGCTGGTGCCGATGATGGCATCTGTCGGCCGCCCAGCCTGCACTGCCGAGCGCTGTGCGTGGCCTCAGAGGTTGACCTGGCCGGCGGCGAGAGAGAGCAAGCCAAGGGAAAGCTCAGGGAGGCCTTGGAGGCGGAGGCGGGTTTCGGGGATGCTCTGAGCAGGCTGGGCTGGCTGCTCTTGGGGTTCGGCGGTGGTGGTGCCGCTAGCGGAGGAGGGAGGCGGGCGCCGTGCGAACGGGAAGACGTGGAGGCGGCGAGACCGCTCTTGGAGAGGGCGGTGGCAGAGGAACCAGGGTGCTCGTCCCATGCATTCCGGCTGGCAAGGTACATTGTAGATACGTATGGCTTGTTCGTCTTGTTTCGGCGGAAGTGCTACCGTTGCGTATTGCGTGGTATGGTACGTTCTACTATCCGTGGTGCTTTACCCTTCCGTACGAAGTACCAAACGCACACTAATGGTATTGTGTATCTAGGCTCTGAATCGCTTGTTTTGTGAAGGCGGAACTAGTACCGCGGTGCTTGACGCGGTATTTACTATCCATGGTACTTTCGCCTTCCGCACGATGTACCAAACCCACAGGAATGGTTTTGTGCATCTAGGCTCTGAATTGTTTGTTTTGTGAAGGCGGAACCACTCCCGTGGTATTTTGCATGGTATCTACTGTTGACGGTTGTTTGGCCTTCCGTACTAGGTACCAAACACACAGGAATGGCGCCACAGTATCTAGAAATGGTTTCGGCGTCCGGTAGTTGGCTCCTGTCGGAATTGATTGCGGAAGTTTGTAAAAATCCTGGGTGGGCGGGGGGTTGTGCGGTAGAGGAGCGTCTTTCTCAAGGTACGCCAAGCACATTGATCGTACACGCTTGGCGATTCTAAGCTACTCATCACACACTACCACTTTGCGTCGACCCTAGCCTATCCGTAGGGTGCTGACCGCACATGACAGCCATGCACGCCACACTTACCCACGGCAGAGGACAGCCGCACCCTCACACGTTGTCACTGCTTATATTGTATGCATACCATGAGGTGAATGTTAAGAAATAATCGTGTTTTGTTGTTTTTGCTTAAACCAGGTGCTATTGGGAGGTTGGTGGGCTGTACCGAGAGGATCGAAAGTATTGCTTTAACTCTCTTCTCAAGGCCGCTAAGCTTGACCCTTCCAATGCCGAGGTACGTCGGGAATTGTATCATGGTGTTGTGCACCCTCAACCGTTTCTATGAACATGCATCGGTCAGATTCATTTTCCGGACAAGTCATCAGGCGCGCCATGGCAAGTTGACTGCACGGCGCAAACAGAGTTGGCTCTACGTATCTACGTTGGAAGTGTGGCTGGTGTACCTGTTCCTGTGGCTATGTTTGGGGTACTTGGGTACAAGATCCGATCTGCAGAGCATGTTTGTGGGGGGGTATACTGTTGGGAGTCCAAGTGCGGGGCCTCTCGTGAGACCGCGCGCATGTGTTCACTGAAACAGGACCTGTACTGACTTCGGTCCGTGCTGTAAGAGCACGTGCGTGTGTTAATCGAGGTTATATATCATCTGCATCGGTCCCTGGGTTAACATAGTCCCCAGACATCACTATACTACCGTGGGTGGGCACGGCAACCTCCGTGGGTGGTCACGGGGGCATGCTCACACGATCAATCGTACAAAGTCCGACCGATGCCGGATTTTCAAGATGCTGCAGAGAAGGCAGCAGCTGCGGAAAGGGCAGCAGCCGCGGAGAGGGCGGCAGCAAAGGAAAGGGAGGAAGAACTGAGGAAAACAGTCGAACTAGCCATGGGCAAGATCGTGAGAGAGTGCTGGGAGGGCAGCAGGGGGTCAAGCTGGGCTGGCAGCTGGAAGAGGTGGATATGCCGGGAGTGGGCCCGGCGGTGGGCTTGATGAAAGGACTGCCCAATGGAAAAAAAAGAAATCTACGACGGGAAGTTCGCCGTCACCGGCAATTGTTCGAAAATTTAATGTCGAGCGAGGGTCTAGCACACACCCTACATGAGTCCTCGTATCCTGTGAAGCTGCTACACGGTCCATCCAGGAGGGAGCTGGTTACTATGCATGGTGGTGACCTGGTGGATCAAAATGAGCGCGCTCTCATCATCCTGACGGAGTCCATGAAAGATGCTCCGTTCATGAGCAAGCTACTGACCAGTGGGTCTGTTGAAGGCGCCTGGGAAGAGGCGATTCGCTGCTGCCTGCTGCCTGACCAAGATGGGAGGGAGGCTCTCAGAAAAACGCTGACCGATGCGTGTTGGCCACGACCCGCTCGCGTACTTCGTGGGTTTCAACAAAATCCTCGCCGATCTTGTCGCTTCTGGAGCCAACCTGTCGAAAGCGGAAATTGTCGCGCTACTCCGCCGCAACCTCTCTTCGGACTACGACACGGAGAATATGTCTATTCTTATGGCCGATGGGATGACTCGTGTAAGGCTGGAGGACACTGTGTACTGCGCACATCGTGAGCGCGACCTCGGCAACGCATCGCGGCAGTCTGCTGTGTCTGCTGATCCACACGGTCTGCGTTTCAGCGGTGGCGGAAATTTTCTG